GCCTTTTTTCACTTTGGAAACACCGATGCACGCAGTTTCTTCACCTCAGTCGCAATAGTTTCGATCTTGTCTTCCATTTTTCGTCATAATCTGGATTACCCGAAATTATGTGAACGGTGCCTTTAATTGAATCGCTATCAAGGTACTTTTTACATGGTAGACAGCCATTTGAAGACACCCAGCCCACTTCATCCGTGGCTCTTATTAGTTGGCCTGTTGTTGTTTCGCATCGCTCAAGCTACTCCCTAAACCTTGAAAGAGAGTTAAGGAGGAGATTTAAAATTCAGTTGAAAAGTTGTTTACAGTGTTGCATCCGGAGCCAATAGAAATGTCCTGACTTGTCCAAGAATATTGTTTGCCTATGTACGACCAGCAACCTGTTCCGTAAAAGAACCGAAGGCGGTTCATCCCGTTAGCATTCTCCTAAACAAATCATTTATTGAAATAGTAACATTTTTATAAGCTTTTAGATAGTAGAAATTTTATAATCGCCCGTTCCCTTTTTCAAGTAAAGCTTCGAGCAAATAATAGGGGATCAGTTTGCATACTAGCATGAAGAACCACGCCCATATGAGTAACCCACTTCTTGGTCAGGCGAAAAGAAATCAGAAATGAAACATCCAGTCGCATCCCTTTATGGGAATGAAAGGGCATGTTACTAGTCAGGCTGTACATGCCACTTACTCATTCTTTCAATTCATACCTAATTAGCATGGAAAGCAGCCACTCGAGAAGTTCAGGTGAACTAACGTCAGTCTGCGATTTTTGAAACCATATCCATTTTTGGGGATCTCCCACTATTCCTTTTTATCGGTAGCTAAAGGGACATAGAGCTGAGGCGTTGGCTCGTTCACAGGCCGCTACCTACTCGTTGATTGCTGATAAGAGGAATGATTCGGAAACCTGTACATATTCACCTGGAATCTGAGACAAGTGTGTGTCGTCCAGAACTGAATTGCTTGTCGAATTAAGGTGACATAGCTGCTTGCTGAAATATTACCATTTTTCGGCTTCGATCCACTTAGTAAATTCGGCCTAATCGATTTATGAGAAGGTTAGTCCCCAGTCCATTCACAAGGAACTTATCCTTTTACTTAAAGGCACAGTTCACGATAAAAATGGTGTCCGAGATCCCCCCGAGGATGAATTTTAGGCCCCCGTTTATACCATATTTGGCACTATTAGGTCGGAAAATTAGGCCTAGTTAGGGAGTTATAAAGGCTGAAATATTGGCCCGTGTGTATCCTCAGACGAGTTTCACAGGCATTGTAGAGGCTGCATCGATCACAAGGGAACCCATGTAGAAAGTTCGAACAACTTGTAATTACCCAAAGCGACAGTGAAAGACAGTTCTGTACAGTTCTGGCTTGATGTAGTCAGCTCATTGCGCAATTGCAATAACTGAAATCTCGTCTGAATACCCACTACATGTTATTTCTGTCATAGCAATCTCGTCCAACCTCTATTTTCCCTACTTTTGAGGAGCCATATTTTCCTCTCACTACCGATGAACTATTGCCAATCTATACTTCCGCTTTTCGAATAAAATCGGGTACCCCAAAATTATCGTGAACTGTGCCTTTAAAGTGTCCGTATACTGGATCAGGAAAGAGGACTACCTCTATCCAAAAACATTTTCATTACAAGCGATGTATTTTGGTCAAGAGTACAAACCATGACTTACGTAATGAACTGTCAATGGTGTAATAGATTGCGTTAGATGGATTCCAGAAAAAAGCTGGATTGGTTTGAAAGCCTCTCTTCTTACGGGACGAACCTTCTGAACAGAAAACCTCGAAGAAAAATAATTCAGTTCGCCATCTTCAATTTTTCTAACAGTGTACTGAACCCGGTGAACTGGGAGAAATTACCGAATCTCGATTTGGTATTCGTCGTATTTGACTGACCTCCTCATTGACTAAGCTCCGGGAAGTCAGAAAAGGTGCTTAGGCATACTTATTTAAATAATCTGACTACTGCCATACCGTTCCCTCCACGTACGAGGGCCTCCGCTTGTTCCGGTGTGAGTGCAATATCGCCCTCAAACATCCAATCAGCGATTTCTGGATGGGCTTCTGAAGTCAAATCCGTAAAGTTATTCTTCGGTCCCAAATCAGGAGTTGGAATTGGCGTCTGGAAATTCATCGTTCACCTAGATTTTAATAGAACTCTAGGGAAATAGTACCGTCGAAGGTCCTTTTCCAGCTCCAGCTCGATGTAGGTTACGGACACGAAGATTCAGCGAACCAAGGATTTCTTTTACCCGCTTACGATTCTCGAATGTGTCTGAGCTGTTCGGATGGAGTAATTTCCTTTTCATCTGAAATTATCTTTCAGGAAACTTTATGAATAGTTAGGTTTAGCTACTGCCTGGTTTCATTTTCAAAAGGGTTCTTAACATTATTTATTCGCCTAGATTATGGAGGGTTCACTGGCGAAAAGACGTACTGCTTTCACCTTACCGTATAAGTTGCGTTTTTTCAATTATACTGGTCCTTTTTTGCTGGGTGACTCTGCTCAATACCTTTGTGCGCTCTCTGTACTATTCAGGATACGATAACTTTTTGGTGATTTATTTTGCCTATTGAGATCTGTACTATTGGAGCCCTTTTTGAGCATTTTCTACAGCTCCTGTTAACCATCTTCACATGGGAGATCAAAACTGAACAGCCTGAGTTTTCTATCGGGAGAAGCTCGTTTATAGTTGCTATTTAGCTAGCCAACGTCAGTTCACAAAAAGTTATTCGCCTTGATTTACAGTTAGGTAGTACCAGTTATTAACCTTAGTAGATGGAAGTACCTGGTCCTACTCTAAACTACCTTTCAAGCAAGAGAAAAGGGCTATAGTAGTCATTTTTCCGAACACTGAAAGGGTGTGATGCTCTGGTCAACTTTAGATGAAGGATTCTAGCCCCTCCACATAACAACCCCTGATCGAGAAGGGGCACTTTGAGACTCAGCGACCAAAACTCGAAAACGCAGTACCTCTTCGTCGGAACTGCTCATCGGAGCCGCCTTGCAGTACATCAACAGCCATAAAACCAGAAGAGGAAGCAGCATTGTGCGGCAGCGGTACAAAGACTTTGAATGTGCTTATATATCGATAATCTGACAAACGAATCTATTTTTGCTGGCATTATTGCCAATATTACTTTGCTGTTGTCCTGTGAATTTTATTGGTAAACAAGGACGATGCTTATGAATTGCATCCATCCGGACACTAGGATGATAGTTTTGTACGAAAAAAATGTGCACGATCACATAAAGGATATAGAACTCGATTTGTCTACTTTAGATGTAGGTTATACGTAACAGTGCCTTCACTAACACGGATGAGGTCAAAGGATCGAATCCATACGTGCCTGTACGGACCAAACCTTCCATAAGTTCGATTATTGAGTACCAGACTCATCTGGGAAGATAAGAGAGCTGACTTGTACATTGGCTGGCCACCGCGATTCATTGTATCGTGAGGATACGCATACAAACGCCACTCTGATTCAGAAGCGTCGTCGGAAGCAGTGGCGCATCCTGAAACGGGATTGAGTGGCGTCAAAAAACTTTATTCTCAAACTTTACATCTTCTGCGGGCCTGCCCATATTGTTGTCGACCAGATAGGTGTGAGACCAATTATGCATTGTGTATTGCCACTTGAAACGAGGTTCCTTGATGCCCTCTGTGCTGCTGGCGCACAAAAAATAACAGTCCATTGAGAAATCCTTTATTTTGTGAAGAAAATCGGTTACGTGACACTTTTCAAACAAGGGAAGATATCAACAGAATCGCTCTATCACAGAAAGTACACGTGAGTAGTTATGACGGCATCAAATGTGTCTAAAGCGTGAAGGAAACAAAATTGAAATGCGGACAACAATAGAGAGTGGATTACAGGAAGGAAAAAAAAGGAATTAATTATGAGCAAAATAAGTAATACAAAAGGGAGTAGACAAACAGAATCCTGCCCCATTTCATTTCTGAAACACTTTCAATTGGAGCATTTCTCGTGCTGCCCTGATATGCTCACGTTCAACCGGTTCATCATCGTCGCAGGTGGCTTTAGCTGCCTGAAAATGCGAAAAGAAAGGAATTATAATGATTATACAAGAATACTATTTGGCTTGGAATCTGACTTAAAAAATGCCTCTATCCCTAGGCCTAGAGATGGTGTTGGGGCAAAAATCGCCTCTATCACCCTGGAGTGGATTAGCGGATCGAAACCTTAGCATATAGCATGTGCCTATGGAATCACGTTTTCGATAGTAGAATGGTTAGGAGAAATAGAAACTGGGGCTAGTTCACTGAAAAGTCCTGGCTAGCGGTAAAGTGATCCAAAAAGGATTGGAATACAACTACTGTACAAAAATTTTGAAGAGCGGTTGACTGCAGTGCTCACTTGGGGATTAATAGGTTGGAGCGAGCTTTGATCGGAGTTTTTTTTTTGACCACTATAGACCGTTTTCAAAAGTTAATCTCATTCACAACGATTGACATATTAGGATACTTTCGACATATCTGTATATTTACTTAGTAATTTATTCAAGTTCTGGAGCAGTCTACGAGCACTGTCAACATTAAAAAAGGCAATCAGAAAAAAAAGCAATGAAAAAAGACCAAAGAAGGGAGAGCAACAGATAACTGGAGCAACGAAAAAAGCCTTGGAAATAAAGAAGAAAAGTACATAGTGATATATCGAAATAAATCGCCATATGCATTAAAACGAGCCCCGTCTTTTTTTAATAGAAACTTCTACCTCAATAAGCCATTTCTTCGCTTCAGCATAATCTCCTTTTGCGTACAACACCCGCCCAAGATACAACCTGTTCTCTGTTATGCCTGGTCGCAGCTGTTCAGCCTGAAATGGAAAAAAGTGGATGTGGAAGCTCTGCTGCACTGCTAGGCCTTTCTTTTACCTCCAAGAAAGAGTCATAAAGTAGCAAAACTTCATAAATGCACACTTATATGAATATCTTTCTGGAAGCCACCGTCTTTTCTTATTTTCACTGCTCCCAATAGGAATCGATAGGAAGTGTTCAAGAAAGGTTTCCTACTCATGGTTATAACCAACTTTGTGATAATAATCGGAAAAGCTGCCTTAACTCCAACAGATCCTTCAATGCAGCATCCATCGACACCTGCGGCAAAGTTCCCATGGTTCTTGCGGCGAGCCGCTCAAAGAAACTCAAGTTTGCCACCTGAAATAGGTATCGTGTCGATGAATCAATACAGGAACAAGGTAAAAGGGGTCACAAAATAGGCTTATGAGACTAATGAGGAAGTGAAGGAGGTATTATTCTCAGACAACTCAGAAATTTACTAAAATGAGACTGTGCTCCCGAGCTTTGTCATCTGATCTTTGATTGTTGGATGTAGTCACTCTTGGTCATAGTATACGTACTGTTTTTTGTTTCAAAACTTTATCACCGATTCAACTGATAATAGCCCTTGCCCCTTGTATTACCCTTTATGTGGAGAAGCTTTGGAATGAACATTGAGCGATTCGGGATCGGTAGACTCTCCGGTTGTGAGCCGGTAGACACTCTCCGGTCCGGTTGTGAGAGCTCGCAGTATTTCTATCGAGCACGTTTTTTTTCGAGATTTCAAGATAAACATGGACAAGAACATGACAGCAACATCAGTGCTCATAGCCAGAAATCAAAGCGTAGTTAGAAATCGTAACAACATAGAAAAGCCATCAAAAAGCCTTCGGCATCCCTCGGGACCACTCGGCTCGACCGCTTGGTTGCACGAGAGTAAGCCCTATTTCATAGCCGAGTGAATGACTTTTTAGAAATAAACATAATTTTGTCCGCTGCAGTGTACTTTTTTGTTTTTTTGCGTAGAAAATAGCGAAAAAATAATCTAGCGACATACAGTAATCTCTGACCTGATAGGAAAATCTTCCTCTCATGTGTAACAGCTCAAAACATGACGGGTCCACAGCCACTGCACGATCAAGGTGGGTCTGAAATCGAGCAAAATAAGTTTTTTAAGGCTTGACCAATAAGGGAGCAGTGATAGGAGCTGCATTTGTGAGTTCTACTTATTTGCATATACACTCGACAACCAATAGATCAAAAGAGCCTGATAAAATGAAAAGACGAGAGTTTATCAGTAATAGTAAATCGTCATACGATATTTACCGAATTTTTTATTCCCATGCTCTTTAATGGTAATGTGGGCATTCTGAACAATACGAGTTTTACTCTCGATATTCTGCCGTTAATTCTACGAAATTCAAGTTGCCCAGGGAGCGTTCAAATGATTTCGCGACTGTGGCTGGAATCGATAGCATGGCGCACTCCCACAACCTTCAATTTATGTCGACCATTTAATCTTTTGAATTGTAAGTGATAGCCAGGTGAATCTCAACTGAATCGCCTCTTCCTGAACACCAAAACTCAGGAGTCCTAACTGATTGAGCTGCCCCTACCGCGAAAATTGACAAATCGACAAATGCTGCCCCCTGGGGGCGTTCAAAAATTGCGTATGACACCCATGTTTCAGGGGCCATCGCGGGCAATTGGGAAAAGTTTTCAACCAGCAATAAACGCACCTCGGCAAAGCCTCATTGGTCACGTTATCGCCTCTGCGCAAAGCTGCCTGGGTGGCCTCATAGGCAGTGCCCTACTTGGCTGGCTACGTATCGGACGAGAGTTTGCATTACTGACGTTACACTACCATTACCGCAGTAATGCACAGTTCGCTAGCACTTATCAGGAATCCACCAGTTTTCAACACATATTTTCTCCGAGTTCTGATCATTCAGACCTGGACAAAGAGTACTACCAAGTAGAGAGCTTCCAATTTGTACGTTTTTTTACTTTTCTTCCAATTTACTTTACATTACCATTAGATTTCAGGTTATTTCCTTATAAGCTCTTTGGAAAACAAATTTTCAAGAGAATTTTTCAAACTGGATACTAAGGGATGACGCTGAAAACGTAGCAGAGGAACAAAGGAGAAGCTTCGTATGAGTTTTACATAAAGCGGTATGCCTAATTTAAGAACTAGGGATATAATTTTTTTGCAGAAAAGACATTACCATCGTAGCACCACGATATGTAATTTTAAATTATTTATTCAGAGCTGGACAATCTTTGAGAAGAATATCAGCCCTAATATTATCCTGCCATCTCTCATGTTATTACTAATGATCAATCCTCCTTTTCTGTAGTAATGCTTGGGAACAAACCCACACCTTATACGCTGCCAGATGGGAAGGGCACTGCCTATGAGGCCACCTGGACAGCTTTGCGCAGAGGCGATAACGTGACCAATGAGGCTGTGCCGAGGTGCGTTTATTGCTGGTTGAAAACTTTTCCCAATTGCCCGCGATGGCCCCTGAAACATGGGTGTCATACGCAATTTTTGAACGCCCCTGGGGGGTAGCAAGGATTATTTGGTGTTTATGAAGGACAAAGGTCATCCTTCGTTAGTCTTTTGATCTCCTGAGAAGAAGTGTGCTGGGTTTGGTAAAGTGTCAGTAACTCCCCTCCCTTCGCTTCTCTATGCTTTTTACGTGATCGATCCCGGCCCCGTCAGGAACAAATCATCACCGCCTTTTTCACAGGAGATAGGCATATTTTTTTGATCAGAATGGCCAGCCTTTATTGCCGATTGGGCCTCTGCAATAATTCACTTTTATGATTTTGGATTTTATTCCAATAACAGCGGGCAGATGTCAATGCCCCTGCTGGGGCCACACAACTGTTCATACCACGAACGACCATGAATTCTTTCAAATAGATCCCCGACTCTGATCAATGTCGGGCACACGGCGCACCTCTATTGTACCCAAGCAACACCTTGGTGTTTTTCTATTATTCTTTTAATTTTTATTCCGAACCAGCAGATGAACTTCGAACAAATCGTATCGTTTCCTTCCTCCAAATCTTTCACTAATTGTTGCCCCCTGGGGGCGTTCAAAAATTGCGTTCGACACACAAGTTTCAGGGGCCATCGCGGGCAATTGGGAAAAGTTTTCAACCAGCAATNAGCCTCATTGGTCACGTTATCGCCTCTGCGCAAAGCTGCCTGGGTGGCCTCACTGGCAGTGCCCTTACCAGATGGTAGCGTATCTTGTGTGGGTTTGTTCCCATGTGTTAACGCACGGGAAGGAATTGAGCTCAGAAAAGACAGTGATGGAATATTATCCGATCTGTTGTTCTACTTAAATTTGATCATACTAATAATGATGGTACAATTCGACCATGAACAACTACATATGAGCAGTATAGTACATTTTTATGAAACGGTGGCACAGTTTTTTTCATTTTCAATATATCTTTTCAAAATCCGGTGCTTTTCCATATTAATCGAATCTGTCTGGTGAAAAATTTATTTTTGTTCATTCCAAATGATCCTCTCAGTGACCATAATGTCCGTTCTCGATTGAAGTTTTTCTTGCATGTCTCCCTCAGTCAATAGGAGGCTATAGTAACTGTAATTACTGGCTAATTACAGTCTTGACCCTTGAGTTGTTCTCCATAGCTGGACTTGATTAGAAACTATCTATTTTCCAATGGTGCGATATCAGAGAAAAACAGACAACAGGTTCAACAGTTACAAAAGCAGTTACCATGGATGGGTTTTGTGAATAATGAATGGCTAACTTTTTAGAAAAATTGCACCACTCAATCTAATTAGCAATAGATGATCAATTTTCCATCAGCTCTTGCTTCCAGGCCCTAAATCCAGGAAGAAGGATAGAGGAAGAATTCATGGCCAAGTTATATTGGAGCTTTCATCGAGTTAGGCTTAGAAACTGGGAAAAAGATTAACCAATAAAATAAAAAATTGGAGGCTATTTTTCGTCAGATTTGTACCAATATTGTTACTGGAAGAAGTGATCTATCCAGTAGGAACGGTTTGATAAACCATACGGTATCCTTTGTAATTCTAGCAGTAAGAGTCCTGCAGTACCCACACAGATTACCTACTCCTGATGAGTGTATCTGAGTCATTACTCGCACAGTCAGACAATTACCACGGAGTATACCCGTACAGGATACGTAGCCAGCCAAGTAGGGCACTTCCTATGAGCCCACCCAGACAGCTTTGCGCAGAGGCGATAACGTGACCAATGAGGCTCTGCCGAGGTGCGTTTATTGCTGGTTGAAAACTTTTCCCAATTACCCGCGATGGCCCCTGAAACATGGGTGTCATACGCAATTTTTGAACGCCCCCAGGGGGCAGCTTTAGTGATTTTATAGGTGCTTCTCAGTGATGCAGTGCCCACACCTATGCTCAAAGCATCCTATTGAGCCCATGACTCTATGACGTCTTTAACTATTAGCCGATGTCTGGGAAGAAGAGCGTACCTACTACACTGGCTCATTCATGATTGGAAAGAAATTTTTCAAGAAAATGGCGAGAACTGGATGGCAAACCTATCGGTCCGAAAAACTGAGTACCGTCAAAGCTTGTCCCAAACGGTTCAGGCGAAGTACTGTGACCGCTAATGGGTCCATTACAACACGTAGATCCATAAAAGAAACGAAATAGGTGAAGTTCTAAGGAAGAACTCACTTTGAATTCGAAACCGAGATTGATTTTGTCTCTAACACCGCTCTCCTCAGCCAGTCGGCCTGTGGTTGAACAAAGGATCTTCAGGATCGCGATACTTGTCGGGTTGAGCTCATGTGCGTCCAGTGCATGCTTTCGTCCTGAAATTGATATTCATACATGGTGACCCACATAAAGTGTGAGGCAGAAAACTAACATCAAAATTATACAAATCAAACCAAATAGGGAACATTTACTCCTATACAGTCATCACAAAATTGTGAACAACATATCACATTTCGCATGCAGAATGACCATCTTCCGCTTTAATGTTAGCATCCAACCTCTTTCGGAAGTTTTCAAGAATGCGCGCAGTCGTTTTCATCCCCCGCTTCTACAAGATGTCAAGGGGGTCCAAAGACCTGTGTTTGAAAGCGGGAGCTTTTTGCTCCAGAATCATTGATACAGCAAGATCTAGGATTGGAATCGGGGAATTTGAAGGTCAACCCTGCTCCGCCCCAAAAACCTGGAAGCGTGGTTTGACAACAATGCAGTATCTTCTTTGCGCTGTGGGCTGGTACCCATTCCTGGGAAGGGTTTAGCTGACGTTCATCGCGTTCCTTTCCGCCCAAGGGATCACCGCGTCCTCGAGCCCAGAAGCCCTCAGATGGCTCGAACGAAGCCAACAACAACATGCATTGGAACAGAATTTACCTCGAAAACTCTCAGCACTTATCGATTCTAGTCATGTTCAACACGGAGTTTTTCCTACAATTCCTCTGATTTTTGACTTCCAGTTTCAGAAAAAAGTTTTAGAAGAACCAAGGCGCTCCTGGAAGGGGTGTGGAGGAGAGAGGCCGCAAAGAGGGAGGGAAAGGGAGAAGAGTGACAGCGCTATAAGTAAATTCATCGGCTACTTCAGGAGTAGCGCTTCCGCTCCGTATCTGGAGGGCAGAAAGGCTTCAAAATCACTTAAGTAATACTCAATCCGTAGACGGATGCATTTCTCCCGTTAGAAAATCACGGACATCTACTATATCGTCCTCTTCCCGAATTCTTCTTCTTCTCTTGTTCCAGCTGACACTACGCACATTCTCAACCATAGCGCCTATGACCCCGTACGTGGCGACTGGGCGTCATAGCCGACTGATGTGGGTCTGTGTTGCGGTTCGTTTCACGTTTCTTTGCTCTTCTTCTCCCCTTCGTTAAGTTGATAGCTCACCTTCCGCCTTTTCGCTACTGTTCGAAACCGTTGCGTATAACTAATACCCGCTGCTTTCGGCTAGGTGGTCTAGTAAACATTTGTTGTTATTTGTTTTTTTAGGAGCGATACAGAGTATGCTATATGCTGGTTGTCTACTTTCATCTGTGTTTGTTTCCGCAGTTAGTATGTTACGTTGTCTAACTGCTTATCTTACTAGTGAAGTTTTGTAATAAGCGCACTACGAGTGCATAAATAAATAAATAAACATCTCTAGACCATGAAAAAATACCTTTTTTGAGCCACTCGATGCGTTCCTGATCTTTATCTTCCATATTACTGATCGTATAGCATACTTCAGCACATTTCCTATTCCATTCGGCTTTGTCCACTATTGAATCACCCAACTGCAAAAAAAATAGTCAAGTTACAACTTTTATTGGAAGAAACATTACTGATTCGGCGTATTTGGAATTGGGCACATTATTGGATAATAAATTACTAGTAACGATAATAATAATATCAATATTAATGTAAAAATAATAATGAGAGTAATAACTATAATATAATAGTAGTAATAATAATAGAAATAATAAAACCAATAAAAAAGAAGTCCTAGAGCATTGGCAAGAACGACTTCACAACGGAGGAAGAAAGCTAAAACCCACAATCTCAAGTTTTTTGTAGGCTTCGCGGCAATTGTAGCAGTTGACAAGCTCGTCGATCTCTTGATAGACGGACTAAAAAGACCGATCAGTTTATTCATGGATCTGTCAAAAGGATGATAAGATGTGGTCAGAGGCTGACGGCGAAACTTGAACATTGTAGCATTGTCAAGGACTTGCTTTCCATGCTTTCCTTACACAGGCTTATCCACTACATCCCGTTGTCGTCCACTAAAAAACCTCAGTAAATAGATAGGCACAGAGGCCTGCTCCTCGAAGGATACTATGCCGATAATGAAGTACGAAGTAAGGGATGATTGTAAGTACCTCGACGCATAAAGCCGGAAAAATATTCGTTTTTTTTTATCATTGTGTATTGGTCGTTACCAGTCACACGTTTTTCGCCAGTTACTCAAAGGCACAGTTCACGATAATTTTAGGTAATCCAGATTATGATGAAAAATAAAAGGCAAGATCGAAAATAGTGCGATGGAGGTGAAGAAACTGCGTGATTTGGTGCTTCCAAAGTGAAAAAGGCTTCGAAAAATCGTTAAAAAGGGGGCTGGACGAGAATGAAACTAGAAAAATGAAGAGTGGGGCATCCGGACAAACTAAACAGTGTGTTTCACTGCACGCGTGTGGGTCCTGATGCGAATAACAGACAATGGTAAGCAAAAATTCATTCTTTCATAAGCATAAATAAACAAAAAACCCTAATAACAGCAAAAGTAGCTCAGCTTTTTCAGCCTCTAGGAGTAGGAAATTAAATAAGGGATCGCGACAGCAAAAAGAAAAACAGAGGAAAAAAGAATGGGAGAAGACATAGCCTCATCACTCAGCGATAAGCTGCGTGATGAGTCCTGCGTGCGTGGGTCCTAGAACGAATAATAGCAATCTGTATTGTCTTGACACTCGTCTATCGTGACACCGATCGAGGGGCGGGAAAGCGGACTACGGCAGCAACGGGGCTTCCGCTAAGCCCTAAGCGCCGAAATTGTGGGAGCAACTGGGTCTCTTCTATCACACATGGGGGACGCTGAGTATTCCTGAAGGAAGAACTCATAACCTTTTTAATCGTGAACCGTGCCTTTAAAACTAGTTGCTTTGGTTCACTAAATGGGCTCATATTTCATGGTACGACATAGTCTTATTCCAGTACGTGTGTCCTAATCCTAATCCACTCTCCCTATATCGGAATAGGTCTCAGGCAAGTTTATAAGGTGGAGGGCGAGGGCATACGCCCCTTGGCTTTGTCGCGTTATGAGCAGGTATTTGAGCCAGAACTCATACTCGGATTACTGTGGAAACCGGGACTCGGATTACTGTGGAAACCGGGTGCTGAGTTTTAGTTTTTCTGTGTTTTCACTTTCTGTGGTAATTCCACGTATTTATAGTTCATACAGTTATGATACCTAAGACTGTAGATAACAAAAAGTGTGTAACTACATAATTATAGGTAATTATCATAACCAGCTGAACTACTGGTAGTTATACATACATATACATATCTGTGACTGAAGTGTGGAATTTGGATTTTTTAGGATTTCGAGGCCTAAATGTAGAAAAATCGAAATTCTGCAAGCACCGTGTTTAACCTGGTTCATTTCCAGGAAACACCTACGAAATCGTCCATATTCCAGCGTTTCTTTATAAGATGGAACCTCAAATCAGGTACAGGGTACTCACCTCAATGGTGGGCACCATATCGGCAAGCCGCAGATGATAACTGGAGCACAATGGACACGTGTACCGATTCATATCTTCTTAATAAGACATCCTGAGAGATAAAAGTATCAAAGCGTTATCAAAGCATATCAATCACGTAAACATGGAATGGCTTGTGGGAATTAGATTGAATCAAATACATATGAGAGTGGCAATAAACTCTAGTGGTTTGCGGTAGTCTAGGAGCTACAAAAAAATCGAAAAAATTTGATTCAAAGATCAGAAATCTGAAAAAAATTCAAAAAATCAGAAAATATGCTGAGCTAACGGCTTTTATCCAGCCCAAAATGGGGTTTTCGGTGGTTAAGTTGCATAGGGAGAGCGTTACAACCACACATGTGGGAAGGGTACAATCCTGGTTCAAAGATTCCCCACTCTTCCCAGACATTTTACGAAGAACTGCAAACTGTAGTTACTGGATGGTCTTCAAAGTAAAAACTTAGGTGAATAAGTACAGAGAATATTGGAAACTTCAGGGNGGGAATCAAGTCGAACGAGTCTCGAAAGAAAACTAGTCATTACCCAACCACATTGATTCATTCCGGCCAAAAAGCAGTCTCTCATTCTGGTTTGTCGACAATTCAGCAACTTTTTCTGACGTTACTGAGTAAACTAGAAAAAAAGTAGCAAATGACATTGACGAGAAGGAGGGGAATAACCGCTCCGAAGTGGATGTGAAGCAGTTGCATCATGTGTGTTTATGACCGACACTGGCTCTGATGCCGGACCTTAGCCAGGTCAGTAAGCCCTGCTTGTCTTATGTAGGAACTGTTTATTTTGCCTAATTCTTGACCCAAATATGAAAGAAACGGATTGAAACACGGGCTGCGCTTACTCACTGCAAACAGATACATTGTATGCGATAAATTTGTGTAGAAATCCTAGACTTTCATCCTAACCATAAGAACAGCGGAAAGCGTGCCATGATCCCGAGAAGTGAACAAGCGCCGTTCCCACTTGAGTACGAATTAGGAGGGGTGGGGAGGGAGCTTAACGCATGTGTGAATTAAGAAATTGGCACAGTTTGAAAAGTACTAGCCATTACTCAGCGATTCGTCATCATTGCTTCTTATAACCTACTATTTATATAATCCGATGAGTGCTTAGCCGGATGTTTATGTAGTTTAATGACCGGAAATTCATAGGTTCCCCTGCAAGCAACGATTTGTGCTCGTTCAGAGGATGTAGAAGTAGCGGTGCAAAGATAGAGAAGAGCTGACGGGTGATAACAGTTGATAAAGGTTGGTATAAAACGATAGAGCGTATCAACTTTACACCAGACAAATGTTAGTTTCTTTAGGTACTGGGTGAGGTGAGCCTAGCATATATAAAAACCCCTTATGCATAGTACATATAAGTATAACACACATCAGTAAGTGATAGAAAGTGATAAGAAGGAGTAGAGCGTGGTAAGGAACGACTAAAAAAAGCAAGCGCCATCGTGTTTTTCTATATAATCACATAGCATTTTCAGCGGAAAATTGTAAAAAATCAATGCTTATTAAGTTGGTGTTGACTTGGTTATAAAGTGAGTAACCGAAGATTGTACAAGGAAGTAATTAACGATAACAGTC